GGCTGAACAGCCCCAACTTTCTCAGCCTGTCTTCGTACAGAAGGTGCTCCAGCCCCTGATCATCCTCATGACCCTCCTCAGGATAATGGGATGCGTGTCTCACGGGGACCCAGGCAGAGACCAACAAGTGGGAAATGAACAGCTGCTGTTTGGATGTGTGAGGCCCTCTGAGGAGCAGGTGAGAGGACCATCACAGGCTGTGGTGTGGTGGCCAGCAAGGAGCTCACTGGTGGGGTCCTGTCTGCCTTGCAGCTGTGATGTGGTTTTGGTGGCTAGATTTGGTAGCACCCAATGGATTGCCCATAGGTTTGACCACCTCAGCTTTGCCTTACATCTTGCTACAGCACTGCCTCATTCTCAGCACTGGTGTTCCTATAATGCTGAGTTGTCTTGTGGTGTAGTTGTTTCTGTTGATGGTTGTGAAAAAAAAACCAAACCTGAAAGGAGAAATGTTTTGCAGGCTGTTAATTATTTTCTTTAGTTATTGCTGGTGTTGAAGATGGGGCTCTCTGGTCTGTTACCTCCTTCCTTTCAAGTCAGTGTATTGCTAATGTCTAGATATAACCACTGAAGAACTGTCATTAGTGGTTTGTTACTTATTTATTTGCTTTTTTTTAATATAAGATCCCATTAATTGTGTCATCTTTTATTATATTAATAGAGCTAAGTTTAATTACTGTAACTTGATTTAAAGGAAAAAAATCTTCCTTGTAAAAATATGGTACAGTTATGTGGCACCAGTAAATCCATTTAATCTTTTGAATACAAAATACCATTTTCTCATTCTGTTTTGCTTTTCTGGTAAGTCTAATCTCAGGTGTAAGTTGCAGGAAATTTTAGTTATAAATTTCTATTACTTTGTAAAAATTCAACTTACTGTTTTCAAGACTCATCATCTTGCTAATTGTGTGCTGAAATATACTACTATACAGTATTATAAAGGATAGATATAAGAGGTACAGTGTGTAGAAGTAGTATGGCCTTTAATTCCTGATTGGAATTGCTCAAGAGAAGGTAAACCTGCTGGTGAATAATGGAAAGAAATCTCTAATTGCTGTAAAAGACATCTGTATGTGCTCTCAGTAACCAGATTAATTCAGTTAGTTTCTACTGTTGTAGAAATAGTGTGTTTATTTTAGAACATGGTGAGAATTAAGTGGCAATCCTTAATATTTCTAGGTAGATGCTGATATAATATCAGCACAAAATATTGATCATGTCAAGAGAAATTCCTAGATGCTTATCTTTTAAATACTGTATTAACTTCCAGTGGAAAATAGTGTGCAACTATGGCAGTGTTTTTGGCAGGTATTTTCATTGCTTTGCTTTAGAGAGAAATAAAAATAATCTATAACAAAAAAAAAAAAAAAAAGAATTAAAATCTGAATTTCTCTATCCCCTCCCCAGCCCTGCCACTACTTTGCTCTGCTCCTGGGCAGGAAGCTACAGGTGCTGTTTTCACAGAACTTGATGTCAAGACTGTTTTAAATGAAAACATACTTATTTTTCTTACCGTTATTCAACACACAGTGAGTTTGTTGGCTCGATTGGTTTCCGACTGGGCAAATATCCACAGTGTTTTCTGAAATAATTCACGGCTGATATCAGCCCTGAAGCCATTCTTTCAGAGGCTCCCCAGAGAGCAGCCCGAGCTCTTGCTGGGATGCAGGGGTGCAGGCTAAGCCAAGGCTGTCTGCAGAGCTCAGTCCTTTAGTTTGGGATCACAGTTCATATGAAGCAGCCTGAAAAAAACCCCACCAGTCCCATAATGAGGCTTACTGTGTCATCACTGTCAGGAAAATAATAGCGTCTGTACTGGCAGAGTGTACAGTACAGACATTCTGTTTACTGGTTTTATCAGCAAGTGGAGAATATATATGACTCTTAAATTAACTTTACATCCCAAATGCGCTGACATTTGGCCAGCTAGATCTGGTGAAAAGATTGCATTTGTGTCTGGGAATATCTGTCAGATAGCATCTGTAGTATGCAGTGTTAAAATATTTCTAGTGAGAGGAGCTTTAGGTGTTGTTATAGTTGGTATCCTAGTGATACAAGTATAGATGCCATCACCCATGATTTCCACATTTCTTATGATAAAGCATATAAAAATAAGCAGGCCAGCTGCTCATGTACTGCCAAAAGCTCACTTCTGTGTATTTGCCAAATACTGCATGTACACCTTATGATTTAGGTTAAGGTGCCTGCATAATTTGTGCCTGCAGCTGTTAGTGTTGGCTTCTAAAAGCTGTGTGCATTCAAAAGAATACATACATTCAAAGTTAATTTGTCAAGATCTAAAGTAATTCAGGCATGAAATATTTCTCTGGGGGCATGGATGTGAGGAAATCACCAAAGCCAAGGGGAGGGGCAAATCAGATGGTTAGGTGTGCAGCATTATTTGACCTGCATTGAAATAAACCTGTCTTTAGCAGTGTTTTAAGCCCTCTGTATAATTGCTTGTGTTCCTTCAGCCATTGCTGTTTGAAACTTTGAAGCCCTCTCTCTCTCTCTGTTTGCTTGTATATGAAGGGGTGGTAATACCCAATAGTCACTACTGAAGCATCAGCCAGTTGAGCAGTGCTGCAGTTCTCCAGCAATGTGGCTTACGTTTGTATGTGGTAGTACAAGGGGAAGTGTTCCCCCAAATAAATAGCATGTGTGATTTTTTTCCAAACAGTTTGGGTCTAAAGTACTAAAGTTTTTTTACAAGACCTGTTTAATTTCTTCGCAAAAATGCAGTTTGAAGTTGATGGTCCAATGACTAAGAAAAAAACTGTGGATATCAGTATCCAGACTGTGACAGTAATTTCTTTCTTGAACTTAGAGGTATGCACTGTTTGTGGTGTGTCCAGTAAGGTTATCTTTGGGATGTTTTTTTTGCTGCAGTCATGTAAGGGAGATCACGTTTTACTTGACATGGTAGACTTCAACTGGTAATAATTAAACTTCAGTTCTGTTAATTAGAATTTTACTGAGAGGCACTGGAGCAAGTAGGTTATAATCTGCAGAAATCATGTAAAATAACTTCTCTCACACCTTAGCAATTCCTCTGGCTCTGTTTAACTTCAAAGGTAGCTTTGTATGTAGGCTGTGAAACATTTGGCCCAGTACCAGCCATAACAAGCATAAAACTCTGTTAGTACATCCACTTCATCCTTTTGCCAAGATCCATCAAAACACTGGAATAACTGTGCACATACTTCATAACCTCTTCCAGGCATTTCCCTGGATGCTATGCAATGAGAATTGCCAGATGTTATTACAAAACAATTAAAAAAGTATTTCACCACCTGTAACTCAACATTGAGGGTCAGTGTCCTAGAGGCTGAGCATCTAGGATATGGTAATATAGAAGTTAAGCTTGTAGATAGTGTCCTGGTGAGTATTTTGTTACTATTGATCATGAGGCCTTCATTATTCAGTATAAGAGAGGGAGAGGATAATTAATGAATGAATTGAACATTCTCTATATCAATTTCTCAGAATTGGGTAAGAGAAGTGAAAAAGTGGGTTTTTTTCTGTTACCAGCAGTGAAGTACCCTTATTTCTGTGGCTGACTGGGAAGTAGAAAGCAGCCATATATGGGATGAAATTCTGCAAAGGATGTGCAGTAAATGGATAGTTCAGAAGAAGGCTCTGCAGGGTCTCATGAGAGCAGCAGTTTGGGAGGGAGAGGAGTCTTTCCAGCTCAAGAAATAGCACCACAGAACTTGTTCACTTAGTGTAGAGAGAAGACTAAGAGAAGTAAGTTCTTAAAATAGTAAATTCTTCCTTCGTGAAACAGTGTAGCAGTAAAACTGTGGTCACAAAGGCATTACCTTTCTAGTGGGAACTGGTGTTTGGTAAAGTTTGGTTTAGGGGCACGATGGTGGTTTTTTGTTACACATTTGGACCCCCTTGTGCCTGCTGCTCTGGGTGTGGGGTGCACTTGATGGCATGTCAAAAGCAGCCTATGCCAGCTCCTGGGTTGGCTTGTAGAAGCAGGCAGAGGTGGGCACTACACAACTGATGGCTTTTGAGAGCTGTTGAGATAATGCCTGTCTTATGCCAGGTTGGTAGGCAGCAAGAACAAGGTGACAGAAGAACAAACGCCCTGTGCACCCAGTGGCCAGTGCTGTTTGGGAGTTACTGCCAGGCTCAGAGGTCAGCTGCAAAACTGCAGCTTGCCCATTTTGCTCTCATCCTGTGGCCATGGAAATCTCCAACTGTGTGGGCTGACATGTCCAACCTTTGAGCTCTGAAATCTGAGTTACTGAACATAGTGGCTGTGCTCCAGATGTATTTTGCTTACAAGAGCTGGAAGGAAAGACAGCTGCCTGAATAGAACAAGGGCACTAGCCAGGCAGCCTAAGGACTCTGACTTTCAGAATGTGAGCAGCAATAGCCCAGCTGAGAGTTGCCCAGGAAAATGCTACAAAATCTGGAAGGCGACCAGATTTTTCCAGTACATGTTTTGTCAGATTCTAGGGAAATCTAAATTCAGACTGGACGTAAGTACCCTGAACAACACTGATGTCCTTAGGAGTGTTTCAAGCAAAAGGAGAGGAAATGAGTTTTCTCCCACTTGCCTGTCTTGCGTACTGTGTGGTCATTGTGAACAGATCATCATTATTTTTTTGGCAAGGTCCTTCTGAGGATAATCTAGGCTTCCTTTCCTGTCACTTTCTAGAAACTGTACCCAAAAAAGGTAACACATAGTGAGGGGGAGCTGCCATTTTCATAGGTCTTGGAGAGGTCTAAACCAGACCTGATGACCTGTTCTAGTAGCTGTTACTGCTAAAAGAGATATTTAAATTTGCCTCATGACATCTGTTGTATTTGTGGGTGGGCACAGGGAAAGGACATCCAATGGGAAGTAAGAAAATTAATGTGCTTTCAAAATTTTCTCTGTAGTTTTTTTTTCTTTTTAAATTAAAGTTTTTAGACAAAAATTGTCGAAGCTGTTTCTGTAGGAATGTCTGTGTTAATAACTTCCAAAATCCATTTTTCAAATCTAGATCATCAGCAAGGAGATTAATCCCTTTGTGAACAACTGGGAGGAAGAAGGACAGTTCCCAGCACAGGAAGTATTTAAAACCCTGGGACAGGCTGGATTCCTTGGTGTGGATAAGACAACAGGTAAGAAAATATGTAACTCCTGAGTATTGATGTTGACTGTGCTAGACTGCTTACATTATCTCAAATCACTTTTGCCCCTGATCAAAACATGGTTTGGAATTCAGTGCAAAGTTTTCTTATGTTCCTCAGTCACGGGTGTACTGGTTACCAGCTGCACAAATGCAGAAAATAATGTTGCTGAGTGCTCAAATCAATACTGTCCTAAATATAAACATTAAAAACCTGTGTGACTGTTAATTTAAAGTCAGCAAAATGAATGTGACTTCAATTTTCAACGTAGCATCTGTATAATGAATTTTCCTCTGCATCCATACACATACGGAATAATCTCAATCTTCGTTAAAGAACCCCCAGTTTGAAGCCATTGAAAGTGCTGTAAGATTTGGCCTGTTATACTTCCTTGTCTTGTAACCTCTGCATCACTGTCATGTATTGTGTCACCATTCAGAGGGTGAGGCTTGTGTAGGTTTTAGGCCATTATATCCTAGACTGTCTTTAAAATACACTATTCCAGCCCACACAAGCAATAAAGAACAAGAAGCTGATGATAAAACCAGCAATTTCAGAGAAAGTCTCATGTATACATACATATATTGGTGACAAAAAGGTCAAGAAGCCCAGAGGAATAGGAGGTATTTCTGCTCTTCAGCTGAAGTATTTATTTCCATAAGTTTGTGTTGTTTATTTTTGTTTGGTTTCTTTTATTTGTTTGTATGTAATGTAATACATATATTTTCAAATGCTACTGTGGAATTTACTGGGTTCTCTCTCCTCCCCCTCCCACTCCTCCAACACTTTTTTTATTGTAAAAAGTCTAAAATCAAGTTTGCATAGGCAAACCTTTAGCAACTGTGGTGAATTCAGAGCAGTCCGAACTGACAGTATTTGAAATGACCTGCAGATAATTGCCTATGTGGAGCAGCTCACAGAATCTTAGCTATGCCACACCACGTCATTATGTTGCCAAGGAACAGGGTTTGAACTGTGGAGCAAAATTTGTGTTTTTACCACTTACTTTGAGAGGAAATGTTCCTTATTGAAATGAACTTTTGTATTCGTATACACTCCAGCGTGGAAGGTTTTTTCCTATAGCTGTTCAGTTGTTGGAGCTCTCAGAACTGTTTAGCTTTGATTGTCCGACAAATCCAATTAAGCCTGAGCTGGTATTTCTTAACAAAAATGCTGACAGTTTGAGATTATACTTAAGATCTATGTAAAGGACAAATAGGAATACTGGAGGGGGGAAGAAAGCCGCATCTACCTCTACTATAATTGTTTGATAGGCAGATTTGAAAGTGTCTCAGTGGGGTCTGCTTCACTCTGCTGATATTTGTTTTGGTTATAATAATGGTGTGTTGCATTGTTGCCATATTACAGCCCTGTCTTCTTGGTATATTCTTCTCAGGACATTCAGAGGCCTTGCCTGGGTAAGGAACCTCAGTGCTGAGTATGCTGTGCATAAAGTGTTGTGGAGATGGGAACTTTGTATAAGGCTTACAAAATAGCTAGGACAAAAAATAACGAGTGAAATCTAGTCAAGAAGGGACTTGAAAGGACTTGCAAAGGCAAGGATGGGCACAAAAGTTGCATGCACTGAGTACACTTGTCATGATTAAGACCTCTAGAGCTGCATTTTATAAAAGTTAAAAAATCCCAACTCCCTGGATAAAATTCTCAGCAACAAATAGTCCATCTCAGTTCATCTTGTAGAGCAAAGTATCACTGCTTACAAAAAATGCATTAACTCCCTGAAAGATGCTGTCTTTGCAGCATTCAGCTGTGTAGCAGAATGTCACCAGGTCCAGTGTTGCTCTGGTAATAGTGTAATGCCATCAGGTATATCCTGAAAGTCCTGAAACTTTCTTGTGATGCTAAATGAAATAATTGGATATGTAACATCATAATCTCAGCAGCTGCGATTTGATAAAGCCTGAAATTCGGCATCTTCTAAATTAATACAAAATGCTTATACTTGCAGTATAATGTGCATATGTAGTAATAATTACAAATGAAATTGAGCTATACCTTTTATACTCTGCCCAGCCACTTCTATTATTTAACTACTGTGTGCAGAGGAAGGGAGGTCTTAAGAGACTTAAGGAAGCCAAGAGCAGTGGGGAGTTTTGGAGGGATATTGGTGGAGGTCTGGAGGGGAAAGGTTAAATTGATTTGAAGAGAGCAATTGCGACACAGAACCATGTGAGTAATAACCTGCTGTACTTTCTCTTTCCAGCACAAACCAAAATTATAATTATCATGTTGTATCCTTTCAAACCCAGATCCTAAAGCATTCTCTATAAAGAAGACTGAATTTTTCAAGTTAATTCACTTTAGTAGCACCTGTCATTTTGAAATGCAAGCTTCTCTGAATTTGTTTTCTAAGATCATTCTGTCGAGTACAGTTTTAGTTTGTTTTGGTTTCTGCCGCACCCTGTAGAATTAAGTTTGAAGCGTTCTGGCTGGGCAGAAATGGGTCACAAACTTGTTTTGCTTTGATAGGAGGAAACATCTGTTGAATTTCAGATTTGTTGAAACTGGACTCTTTCCTGTGTAAACACCATTCCCTTTATGAACAATGAGCTGCTTAATGGGAGTTAAGTTTTTTAAAAGAACATGCCTTACATGTGTCCCTTATCATTGGAAACTTTCTCTGTGTGGAGAACTGATTTGGAGCACTATTTGTATTGCAAAGGCTCCATCAGTTCCCACCATATGCAGTTACAGGCTACAATGTTGTCAAGGTTTTTCCTGTATATTTTTTTGCAGTTGTTTACGCTTGTAGTGAATATTTGCTGTAGTACAGTAGTTCAGGATGTTACCTGGAGGGGTCATGTAAACACGGCGGGCAAGGCCCAACCGTGTACCCATAACTGGAGAATCCTTAAGATGATCAATGGATTTGACTTATTATATTGCCTGGTCAGTCCTCTGCCAAAGAAAGATTATTCTGTTTGAACCATTTCTCTGTTCTGGTATTTTTTTACAGAACTTGAAAATACTACATACACTGTTTTTTCTTTGGGGAAAAAAAGTGTGTTGTTCTATTATGTTAGGAAATTCTTCCCACTAGTAAAATACATGCTGAAAAAATGAGCATAATCTATGCATAAAAAGTGTCTTTTTGCTTTATGCAAAATTTGTTTTACAGAATCGCTCTGTTCAACCTGAAGTGTTTAGTTTTAGGGGGGAAACCCAACATCTGTATGTATTTATTGTTCATTTATGTTTGCTGTGTGTTTCTCCTTAAATTCTAAAGTTTCTCAGCTATTGAGGTATTTATTGACAGTCCCAAAACTAAGGGCAAAAATACCATGGAAGGCAGCAAAAATATTTTAAGCAGTCTTAGTAGCTGGACTTTGTCTGTTTTGCCAAGGGAAGTGGGCAAGACATATTTTTTGGAGTATTTTATGTGCAGATTAGATGAGATAGTAGAGTAAAAGCTAAAAGATCTATGCCATCATTTCACTGAATCCCAGAATCCCAAGGGTTGGAAGGGACCTCAGAAGATCATCTAGTCCAACCCCCCTGCAAGAGCAGGGTAACCTAGAGTACATCAGACAGGAACTTGTCCAGGCGGGCCTTGAATATCTCCAACATAGGAGACTCCACAACCCCCCTGGGCAACCTGTTCCAGTTCTCTGTCACTCTCACAGTAAAGAAGTTTTTCCTGATGTTCACATGGAACCTCCTATGCTCCAGTTTACACCCATTGCCCCTTGTCCTATCACTGGACATCACTGAAAAAACCCTAGCTCCATCATCCTGACACTCAGCCTTTACATATTTGTAAACATTGATGAGGTCACCCCTCAATCTCCTCTTCTCCAAGCTAAAGAGACCCAGCTCCCTCAGCCTCTTCTCATAAGGGAGATGTTCCACTCCCTTAATCATCTTTGTGACTCTTCACTGGACTCTTTCAAGCAGTTCCCTGTCCTTCTTGAACTGAGGGGCCCAGAACTGGATGCAATATTCCAGATGCGGCCTCACCAAGGCAGAATAGAGGGGGAGGAGAACCTCTCTTGACCTACTAACCACACCCTTTCTAATGCACCGCAGGATGCCATTGGCCTTCTTGGCCACAAGGGCACATTGCTGGCTCATGGTCATCCTCCTATCCACCAGGATCCCCAGGTCCTTTTCCCCTTCACTGCTTTCCATCAGGTCAACCCCCAACCTGTACTGGTACATGGGGTTGTTCTTCCCCAGATGCAAGATTCTACACTTGCCCTTGTTGAATTTCATCAAATTTCTGATCTTATGGCTTATGAATCAAAGCGGTGGCTGTTGCTAAATTTTAGGGTGTTGCCAAAGATGCAGGCTCAAAATGTACCATTATGTGTCTGCTTGGGCTGATGCAGGTGATTAAAAGTTTTTTTTTATCAGCTGATGCAAAAGTACAGGAATCTTCCAGTAAAGGCTCAAGGAAAGCAAAGAGGAGGGAAGGGAAAGGTTTGTAAGGGGGCAGTGTAGGCTGTCCTGCATATTCACATGGCATCACCATGAGACATGAGTGATGATGATGCCCACTCTGGCTATTTCTTTAGTGCTTCTTTCGTGTTTTCTAAACACTACACAGGCACTCCTGTATGAATATTTAGCAGACTGCGTTAGCATGTAGAAATAATTATGACTGCTATGTCCAAATAGTACCATTCATTTATTTCTGTCAAACACTTAACAGTGCACTAGCAGAAATATGTTCTTTAATATATGTAGAAAATCCAGAAACTCCATGGTAAAACTTGTACATGGATAGGAGAGTACAGTTTTGTACTATCTCCTTCACCTACTGCTGGGATATATGCTGGATACAGAACTGGAGAGAGTAATAAGCAGTGCGTTCTTGTCACTTGAGACAGGTAAGCATCTGATGACACAAAACAAATGTTTCAGATGTCTGATCACACTGCAACTGGAAAATGATGCAATATTTTTACTTAAGGAAAGCCTGTTGCAACTGTCTGTGTTCAATGTGGGAATATATATCTAGACTATCCTTT